AAAGACCAATGGAAATATCTTTCGAAGAGGAAGTTCTTTTTCAGCAAGCTAAAGTTTGTCACATATGTCGAAATACTTTAGGCAAAGAACGTGTTTGAGATCATGATCACATTACAGGCAAATATTGCGGAGCTGCGCATAGAAGATGTAATTTGAATTTTAAACTCTCTAAAAAAATTCCAGTTATTTTTCATGGGTTAAAGAACTACGATGGTCATCTAATCATGCAAGGACTTGGTAAAATGAAGCATAAAAAAAAAATAAATTGCATTGCACAAAATATGGAGCAATATATTATATTTTTCAATGGGAAAACTACAGTTTCTGGATTCTTTCCAGTTTATGCTCACACCACTGGAAAGACTGGCAGGAAATCTTGAAAATGAACAATTTTATATACTGAAAGATTACATTAAAGACAGTAAAAAAATAAGTCTTCTGTTACGAAAAGGTGTTTATCCATATAATTACATCGATTGTCATTAAAAATTTGAGGAAGAAAAGCTACCTCACCGTGATGCTTTTCTCAACGACCTAACAAACGAAATATTTCAGAAACTGATTATGGTCATGCCCAAAATGTGTGGAAAACGTTTGAACTTCAAAATGTTGGAGAATACCACGATTTATACATGAAAACGGATGTACTGTTACTTGCCTGTGTTTTCGAAAACTTTAGAAATCTTTGCTTGATTATTATGAGATCGACCCTTGTCATGTTTATACAGCGCCTGGATTAGCTTGGCAAGCTTGCTTAAAAATGAATAAAGTTAAATTAGAACTTTTAACTGATCCAGACAAGCATTTATTTTTTGAAAACTCCTTGCGGGGTGGCGTGTTATTGTTAGTCGCTTCAGTAAAGCCAACAATAAATATGTGAACAATTCTATTCTAGAGGGTGACACTAAATATATAATATACCTAGACGCTAATAATTTATACGGTTGGGCCATGGGTTCAACCACTTCCAACTTGTGAATTTAGATGGTTAGCTGAAGAGGAAATAAAATTATTTAGCATTAATGATATTGATGATAATGGAAAATATGGTTATTTATTAGAAGTAGATTTGGAATACCCAAAGCAACTTCAAGAACTGCATAGTGATTATCCTCTAGCGCCGGAACAATTAAAAATCAATCTTGATATACTTTCATCTTATTGCAAAAAGATGCTTGAAAGTCGGAATGGGTTATTTCTTGGAAATGAAACTTGTTCCTAACTTATATGATAAGAAAATGTATGTACTGCATTCAAAAAATCTGAAACAATATGTTAAGTTGGGAATGGAATTTGAAAAAAATTCATCGAGTTTATTGAATTCAAGCAAGACACATGGATGAAACCGTATATCGAATTTTAACACAGAACAACGAAAACTAGCTAAAAATGATTTCGAGAAAGACTTTTTCAAATTAATGAAAAATTCTGTGTTTGGGAAGACGATAGAAAATTTGAGAAATCGTGTCGATATACGATTGGTAAATAATGAAAAATGCTTGAAAAAACTTGTAGCATCTCTTGCGTTTAAAGGTTTTACGATTTTTAATGATGATTTTGCAGCAGTAAATATGAAGAAAACATCTCTTAAATTAAATCGACCCATATACGTTGGATATTCCGTACTAGACATTAGTAAGACTCTTATGTACAGTTTTCTTTATGATTTCATAAAGATAAAAAATATGGTAAAAATGCTAAATTACTTTTGACTGGCACGGATTCTTTATGCTATGAAATTAAAACAGGGGATGTCTATGAAGACATGCTGAAAAATGAAGATTATTTTGATTTATCTAATTTTTCTGAGACGCACTTTGCATATTCCTGTAAGAATAAAAAAGTATTAGGAAAAATGAAAGATAAATTCTCAGGTGTTCCTCCGATTGAATTTATAGGATTAAGAGCAAAAATGTACCGTCTCATATCTGCTAAAGAAGAGAAAAAACTGCCAAAGGTATATCTAGATATATTGTGAAAAATGTACTCTCACATGATGATTATAAACATTGTTTGTTTAGTAATGAGCAGTCAAAAGTGACAATGAAGAAAATTGCATCAAAACATCATAAAATTAGTACTGTGGAAATGAGAAAAGTTGGCTTAAGTGCATTTGATAATAAAAGATATATACTCTCAAATGGTTTCAATACTTTAGCTTATGGTCATTTCAGAATCAAAGAAACTGAAGAATTAGCGATGTAAATAATAAAAATATCATTAAATACATTGGGTGGGAGGTGGGATGAAGTGCAATTGCAAGGGACGTCCGGTATCCTATGCTGTCATTGCCTTTTCCGTGACATGATATAGGCTCTACCACGTGCACTTCGGTAACAAGGTGTGTTGAACCTTGGCTAACTACCTTGCTAATTTTAAAAGTAAATAAAACTAGCACAATCCATTTATATCAAACATATGAGTAAAAGCAAATCAAATGAAATTTTAAAATAGAAATGAATTTGAATATTAATACAAACGAATTAGGAATGTTGCACATGTAAATATTTAAATATAAAATTAAAAATAAATAAATAAAAGATAAATAAGGGAAAAAGGCAAGAAAGTAAACTTATTATAAGAAAAAAATAAAAAATGAAAACAAACTTTTGAAGGGGAGTAGAATATGAAATATTAAAAACAAAGAAAGTAAACAAAACGTAGTAAAAGTTTAATAAAAGATTAAAAAATTATGTAATATTATGTAAAGGGTAATTTTTAGTAAAGAAATTTTAAAGGTCTGATTGTTTTAAATTATTGTAGTTTAAAAAAAATTTATATCGATAATGTAAACATCAATCATTAAGGACTTGAAATGTAGTATATAAGATATTTCCCCGCTATATACAAAGTAGCTCTCTTTTATCGTTACACAGTCAGCTTGTTAAAAAAAAGTCGCAAATACTCCTTCCTGTCGCTGCTACAATCTACAGTGTAGAAAAGGTTTTCTCAATAAAGGAAAACTTCAGGCGCAGTCTTCATAAAAAAGTTGAATTTTAACATTAAAAACCTCTTTAACGCCGTAGTTCCAAATTAGTTCAGAACGTAAAATCATGAAACAATAAATCTTGATTAACTGGAAGAACTGCAATACTGGGATAATGTAGCAAAAAATATTTAAACATAATTCAGTTTTTAAAAGATTATGTTTACAAGCGAAACAAAGCAAGTATTTTTTTTTAATAAACGTCTACAAAAATTTTGATAGTTTTCGATTCCAACGAAAATGTTAATAGACTATTGGGTAAAAGTATATTTTAGGGTTACCCCTTGGAGAAACTTGGCGGTACATGGATACCGAGTTTGTGCATTTCTTTAACTTATTATTTTGGCTTGCATAACGGCGATTTTTGGCTAAAAAATCGCCGCTACACAAAGCCAAAATAACAAGACAAAGAATTGCGCAAACTCGGTATCCATGTACACATCGACCTATTTTCACTTAAAAAAATCCCCGAATTGCACAAAAATGGCGTTGCACACTCCCTTGACTTTATCCATGTACACATTGACCTATTTTTACTTTAAAAAAAATCCAAGAATTGCACAAACACAGGCAAACAAAAAATACATAATATCAATAAACTACATTTTAAACCAAATAATAAAATAACATAAAAAAGGAAAAACATGTTAAACATTTAAGCATTACAAAAAGCAAATATCCACTTACCCTATTAAGAAGTTCCTTCGATTTAGTCTGTAGCACACAAAATTCTTTAACAGCATCCAAAAACTTCTTAAAATTATCTGAACTTGAATCCGTATATCGGCGTCGCCACATCTGAACCTTTTTTCTTACAAGCGCATTCAAATCCATCTAACGGTTTTTACGTTCGATTAGACGCATATCCTTCCTACATACAGGACACTTATAATGGCTACTAAGTAAACCTTCATTTACACACCAGGTCAATCAACGCTCTTTTTTTCCTTTCGTTCCAAATTGTAGAGAAACTTCAAATTAATCTTATTACATTCAGCCATTCTACCGTCTAAACAATAAAACCAACACACACCACAAAAGCGCTTGCAAAACATCCCATGATTCAAAAATTCTCCAGAATCATGCACCCGATTACGTCACAATAGGGTTTCCATAACATTCAACTACTCAGGCTACCATAAATGAAACAACAACTTGGCGATAAATGAAACAACAACTTGGCGATAAATGAAACAACTTCGCCATAATACAAGGGGTACCTTAAAGTCTACTCTAACCGACTATGGTTACTTGATCGGCAGCTTCTGTGTATTCATTTCCTTCTCGTTTGCAAACACATCGATGATTTTTTTTTACCGTTAGAAACATCTTCAGCGAGATATTAACAAACATCCATACACTGTAAAATAATTGCTGGAAACATGCATGCTGATTGGGATGCTATAATTAAAGTTATAAAACATGGGTAATCCTGATAGTTAAACTAAAAGGATTAAAAAAATCTACCCTCAATTTAGGAAAACTGTATAAAAATATGTTAATGGAGTTTAGTTATATTATAAATATTCTTAATATTGATATAGTAAAGACAAAAAAAAATTCCAACTATATATGTTTTGTCTCACGCCTAAAATATCCCCACACATTTCCTATTCCTAATTTCTTTAGAATTTTAGTTTTGAGCTTTCAAATATTTCCTGAATCAACGTGCAGATGTTCTAAAATTTCATTTTAATTCAAACGATTTTATAGCTTTATATTTTAAATTTTATTCCTTCTCTATTAAAATAATGAACAGAAATAAATACGAATGAATAAAATGCAGTAAGATGAATAATACTCATTCTCATAAATTAGGTAAATAATTTTAACTGTAACTCTTGGAAGAAGTCTCAAGCTTCGCATTCAGAATATTCCGTATAGCGGTACTGTGTCCCCTATTAAACAGTAAGAAACACTTTTTGTTCGACAGCTCTTTCAAAACTCGTGAGTGTCTGTAAATCAAAATTTTTTAAGCATCCTAGTCTGTACAAGTTTTATAAATTTTACCTACATTTTCTACTATGTCATTCGATGTTTGCATTTCTGTTGCGCTTTCTTGCTTAGCCGAGCCGCCGGATTCAGCTGTATCATTTCTCTAAAAGTAATAATATTAAAAAATACATAAATCAAAACGCAAAAGATATTGTTCAAAATTACTTTAAATGGCCATATATGTATTTTGTAGCAAAGTAATTGCATAGGGAATTAAGAAATGAAACTTGGAAAATTTTCAAGAAATTTAATATGAATTACATTTACTTACTAATTTATTAATGCTAACAGTAAAGCCTCTATTTTATAATTATACAACTTCTAAAAAACTATTAAAATAATTCACTTCTCTTTCTGAGATAAGCAGCTAACTGGGTAGGAAAACTGGGGAGTATGAATGACGTTATTGTTTTTATTTTCCTATGAAATTCAGCTTTTCAGCAGTACCAATCTAATAACGCACAGATGAAAACATTTCAAGACAGCCTAACTACTGTTAAGAAAACCATTTTTACTTCTATTTAAAGATAATGCAAGGGATTAAGGAATACTTCCTTAATCCGTTGCAGGCTTTGCAATGTTAAATAAGATGATATAATACTATAATGAGCAATTGATGATAAATGCCTTCCTCAGCCAAGTAGGCATTGGTCAAATCGCATGAAATCTATGACGGATATCAGAGATTCAAACGACTTAAAAAAATTCTCCTGTTTCCTAAATCTTCTTGGCTGGTCATAAATGTTTAAGCAATATACATCAGTATGGGAAAATAAAACAATTATAAAAGTCTCTAACATGTCTCGGCAAAATGAAACGACTGTGGAGGAAGCCCTCTCCAGATTTTTCTACGTTAGTCGGTAGTCACTTTAAAAGTCTAAGCCGCGGTCGGATGTCCCAATGTTGCAAAGAGGCTTCCCTAAATATTTTCTACTTAAGGATGTCATCGAATATTTTCTATTTAAAGAAATCTCAAATATTTCTAAGCATAAAATTCAAACTGCGCCGTTCAAGACGTGACCTGTTGACAAAGTGCTTTAAATTCCAAAACAACAGCTTTACAACTGAATTTAATTTTATTTAAAATTCAGCTACTATGCATTTAACTGGTTTTCAAAAGGCAGAAATTTTGTATGATTAAGAAATATACTAGTAACTTATAAATAGCATTTATAAATACATAAACTTAAAGTTGCATGATATTATTTTCACTTTTTTTACATTTCTTTAATGCCAGAAAGTAATAGCTTAGTATTTTTAATCCTTCAAACTTTTAGAGATTTCTCTGACTAAATAGACATGCAGTTTAAATGCTAGAATAAAAGACTATATGAAAAGGGAAATACATACTTTTGGTGGTGAAGCACTTTCTTTATAATAATATGTGTAATCGTAGTAATCAATGTTGTCATTCAGAAATCCAAAAAAGGTATCGAATCCTCGTCTTGTGGGCAAATAACTCCTTTTGTGATAGCCTAAATGCCACTGCCAAATAAATTAAAATCACATTACTCTGAAAATTTGAAACTTCTCTATCGCAAAATTAGTGAAATATGTTTGAGTTTTCAAATGATCGTAGAAAGTATGTTGCTTGCCTAAAATATAAACTTACATATTTATAAGTATCAGCTTCAGGAAGTTAAACACAAAATAGCGGAATGCATTTAAAAATCAATAGTTGAAACACCCATCGTTCTTATTCATCATTTTGCTTCTGATACAATGCAATGAAACTGTTATTCTTTACAGAACTTATTGCACAGGTTTACATTGCCAAAGAAAAAATATTACATCGAAAAAGCATTTAAACTAAACTTTTCTCATATACACTTACATACACTTAATCCATCCCAAAATTTATTTTCAATCTCGTCATCCTTTGCAGTTTAGGCATACTTAGTTTCTCTTTCAAATCTTCAAAAAACAGAAGCAGGTATTCAAAACTATTTATTTTTCTTAAACAATGCTGAATTTTTATTTATACATATTTATTCAGATTTTAAATTACACAGATGACTTAAGGTAGAGAAGAGTAATTAAGGAGATTTAATAATCTTATATTAAAAATACTTCACAAGAGAAAGTTTTAATTTTAATCATTAAAAAAGGCTTACTATTTAACAATCAATCTATCCAGCATGGTATTTGCAAATAAAACTAATACTACATTTCACCTGAATCAGATATTTAATATAATCTTCATTTTGTTTTACATACTAAAAGAGTAACATTTAGTATAAATCATTCACAGAACTATTCAATGATTCAGTAAAATTTATCGCAACTTACTTTTCCCACCATATGAGTCTTGTAACCTTTCTTTTTGAGATATTCAGGTAAAACTGGAATGTTCAAAGGTAAACCTGATGCTTCTGCTGGCCTTAAATTTCCGTGGTGCAAACCTTAAATGAAATTGAATTATAATAATCATTATGTACAACAGTCAAAAGACAAATGGGACAATTCTGTATATCCCGGTCTTAGTGGACTAGTTAAAGAAATTCAACTTGCGTTTTTCAGATCTCAGTTGGTATATGTGATTACGGCAAAACCTCGAGGGCTATCTCCTAAAAGAGAAATGCCTTCGTGGAGGACTTTGTAAGGGAAACTGACCCGTATACACGTTACACATGAAGAAAACCACGAAGACGCCCATGTAGCAGGCCCGTTCGCGGGATTCGAACCCCGGACCGAGTGTTCAGCGACTTCACTGCTCTGCCACTGGTAGGCCCTTCTACTTTTGAAACACTTTACAGTGTTGCGCCTTAGCGTTCTTTATATAAATGTTATAAGTATCAGTGGCTTAGTAAATGTTATAAATGTTATAATGCTTTTATATATTTTATGTTATATGCAATGCATGTTTTTAATTCTTTGAATTAAGACATACGCAATACTGTAAAAATGCCTTTAACATGGATTTGTTATTTTTATACAACTTAGTAACATAAGTTAAACTTATTTACATTAATTGTAATGAAATTATTCTGTTTTTAAAATAATGAAAATAATCCAAATTTAAAATAACACCATCAGGGCCAATAGTTATTCAGCGTTCTATCTTGTAATATGATATGATATGAGGGACGCAGCCCGACCCTCCTGGCAGACTTTACGTCGCCCTATGGCCTTTTTTGCGGGCTGCGCCAGAGCAAGCTAGAAACAGCACCTTCAACAGACATAAAGAACATAACTAAAAAACAAAATTCAGATATCTTGTGATTTATAAAATAATATTTCAGAATGATATTTCATGGATAAGGTATGCATCTAGTTGTTATCATAACTATTTTCCTAATTATTATGTTGGTCAATATAAATATTCATAATTTACATGTTAATTGTGCAAGTTGAGTACAAAAATGAATTTTAAAACTCTTCGTAATTCTTAAATTACACCAAAACAACATTTTTATAATGGTTGCTATGAATTAAGCATGCTATTTTTCTAATTAGTCAAATTACAAAATTTAGAGATAATATTTCAAAGTTACACTTCCGTGTAGCATTTTGGTATACAGTTCAGTATTACATCATTATTATTAATGAAAACAATGGCTTTGTTTTTGACAGCAATATATTTTGATTTGCTTAATTTTTTATATGTAAAATACCTCTTCATATCAATAGAACAGTATAAAAAGTGACTGTGAAGGATCTTAAGTTTTACTAACGTTTATTTTATTTTAAATCTTTACTATCACTTCTTATTTTCTACTTCCGGCCAGAATTAAAAGCGTTAACTTATTTATGCAAATTTGTCTGGCGAACGCCAAGTACTTAAGTTGTGGCTTTTTGCCAAGCGAGAGAGAGGAAGGAGTTAGTCGAAGCAGGCCGCTTACCTTAGAAGTTTACTCAGTTGCTGGTTGCCTTCCAGGCCAGAGGTTTAATCCTCTTGATAATTTTAAACGTATTGTAGTGTTAACAGTTCTCTGTACTACATACGGCTTCCTGTTAATATAAGGCCAATCTTCCACGTTTATTATTTCAAAGTTAAGTTAGAATTTAGTTATAGTTTTATATTCTTACGTTTAGACAATAAGTAGTGGGTCTTTGTATTCCGAAGAACGGAAATTATAAAGAGAGAAAGAGTTATTGTAAAGAGAGAAAAATAAAGGGTTTTGTATACCCTTCTTGTGTATCCTGTCTACTTCCCACAGTTTTGAACACAGCTTTAGTAAGCTCTCTGTTCCGAGTCAGGTCCTTGAATGTTCCCGAAGAAGGTTAGACGGAACATTGAACCTGATAGTGGCGCCCAACGAAGAAGAATAACCATGGCCGAGTTTCAAGAAGAACCTGTGCTGCCTGCAGAAGCGGCTCAGAATCCAGAAATGCCAGCTGCCGCCCTGGAAGGATTTGGTTACATCGTCCAGACCATGCGCGCTTCGATGAAACCAGAAGCAACATTTAATGGAAACTCTCACCGGTAACCAGTTTTTTGGAAAAATTGGATGACCACTTCATGCTCTACCCCTACCACCCCCGTGCACGAATTTCAAAAAGTTACCTTAGCTACCAGCGCTTTGAGGGGCCAAGCGCTTAATTGGTTCAAATGTATAGGCAGAAGTCTCTTGGGTCAAGCAGGAAGTCCCACCTATACTTACGAAAATTTCAAGACTGCCCTACTAAAAGCCTTCCCTGTTGTAAGGGATCGTGCGAAATTAGAAACGGAACTTTTCAGCATATATCAGCAAAGAATCGAAAATCTCTCAAGCTTTATTTTAAGAAAAATTCACGTCTTCAAACTCTTGTATGGAAACCGTCCGGATCCTGAGATAATTCAAGTGATTTTGCCGAGGTTACTGCCCCAAGTGCAAGACTTTATTGAATTAAGAAATCCGACTACACTGGAAAAGTTATTTGAGCTAGCAATCCAGTTTGAAAGTAGAAGAACGGCGGACATTGAAAGAAGACGCCAATATCAACAGCGAAACCAATTTGGTGCGCCAAGACTACAGCAAACTCAAGCACACGGCTACGGAAGCAAAGCGAATCAGTGGGCAAGGAAAACCCGAGCATTCAAAAACAGCCGGCGAACGTCGACAGTTCAATAGCAATCCAGGAAAAAAGTCTCAAGGCCAGTGGAAAAAGAAGGAAAGCACGGAAATGAAAAACAATTTAAACTAAAACGGATTTCTGCTGACGGGAGGGTGCGGAAATCCGAAGGCCACGAAAACCCCTCTTCCTTCAAGTTAAATACAGTAATGGTGAAAAATTTGACTCTTCCGAAGATTGAAGTGTTGGTGAATAATATCCCAGCCACCGCACTCCTGGATACAGGCGCGCAGTGTTCCTGTGTGGCAGAAGATTTTTTTAGGAAGTATTTTCGTAAATATCCGCATATATAATTCGGATAATACGACAGTGTTAGCTGCGCAAGGAGAAAGATGTAAGTGTATAGGTAAATTACCGCTGTATGTCCGTATCAAGGACGAACAAGTAAAGGTTATGTTTTTTATAGTAAAGAATCTGCAAGCACATATTATCTTAGGAATAGATTTTCTTTCTTTCAGACGCACAAGCAACGCTGGATTTTAATGAAGCGTCCCTTAAGCTGACAATGAAACCAGTTCGTGAAGAAAAGGCTGAACCGCCGATGTTAAACCTTGACCACCTGCCTAATGAAGAGCAACGAAGAATCCGACAAGTGGTAAGTGAATTTGCTTCGTTATTTAGTGATATTCCAGGATTTACTCAGGTTACTAACCATAGTATTGACACCGGAGATTCAATGCCAGTTCGCCACAAAGCATACCGGTATGATAAGAATAAGGAAAAAATTATAGAATGGCATATCACCGATATGCTACGTAAAAAGATCATAACACCCATCTCAAGTAGTTATGCTAGCCCGGTGGTTTTATGTAAGAAAAATAATGACTATCCTTTGACACATCCAAAAAGGTGGAGATTCGCATTTGACTACCGTAAATTAAACTCCATAACTAAATATCCGGTATATCCGTTACCTATTATTGAAGAAATTCTAAGGAACCTAACATCCACCAAATATATGACGACTTTAGACTTAACGACTGGTTATTTTCAAATAGGGGTTAGGCCTGAGGACGTGCCTAAGACTGCTTTTATAACCAAGTCTGGCACTTATGCATTTCTGCGTATGCCGTTTGGCCTTTCAGGGGCACCGGCAACGGCAACATTTCAGGGATGTATGGACATTGTGTTAAGGCCTGTTCTTGGAGAGTCCACATTTATCTATTTAGACGATATCATTATTACTAGTGATAATCTCGACCAACATGTACAGGATTTAAGACAGGTGTTTTCTTTATTAAATCAGGCCGGTCTAAAAGTTAATGTCGAAAAGTGCAAATTTGCAGCCCCTGAATTAAAATATTTAGGTTACAAAATATCTCAGAAAGGAATCGAGACAGACGAATCAAAAATAATCGCTGTACAAAAGTATCCGACTCCAAACACGGCGAAAGAAGCTCTCTTCTTTTCTAGGACTTTGTTCATATTATAGGTCCTTTATAAAAGATTTTGCAGCTATTGCTGAACCATTGTTAAAATTAAAAAGGAAAAAGGCAAGATTCTCGTGGACGGCCGAAGCCAATAGTGCTTTCGAAAAATTAAAACAAGCATTAACGCAAGCCCCTGTGTTGAAATTTCCTGAAAAGGATGAGAATTTAGAAATTTCAGCGGATGCTTCGGATTATGCGGTAGGAGCGGTACTTTCGCAAAATCAGCAGCCCGTGGCATTTTTTAGCCGAACTTTAAATCAAACACAAAGAAACTATTCCGCGACCGAGAGAGAGGCACTTGCAGTTCTGTTAGCAGTGCAAAAGTTCCGAGTCTATTTTGGAAAGGCGCCAATAACAGTGTACTCTGATCATGCGGCGGTAACTAGATTGTACTCAGGGAAAAACTTATCCCCAAGGTTAATAAGATGGGCACTCAAGCTACAAGAATATAATCTGGTAATCAAGCATACCCCCGGAAAGGAAAATATCGTAGCAGATGCCCTATCCAGAATTAAAATAGATGAAGAAGGTAATACTGTAAAGGTGGCAATGCTCACAGCATGTACAATAAATTCCCGAGAAACTGTAATAACCGAACTGGGTAAGGATCCTGAGTTTGGAAGCATTTATGAGTATTTAAAGGATCCTGAAAATTTTAGCCACCAAGATATTGTGGCGATAAGAAATAGGGCGGCCCATTACGAACTAATAGATGGTCTATTATTTTATACAAAAACTACGAATTCCAACAACGAATTTCGACCTGTTATCCCAGCTAGTCTTAGATTAAATATCCTGCAGGAGCTCCATGACAGCCCTTTAGCTTCTCATGCTGGTATTCGAAAAACTATCCAACGCGTACGCGAGGCAGTCTACTTTTCCTGAACTGCAAAAGTTAACAAGGGCGTATGTCCAGT